CCGGTGGCCTGCTGACACCTTGACTTGGGTTTCTGTCCTCTGGAACTGTGAGAGGACAGACGTGTGTTGTTCAAGGCACCAAGTTTGTGCGGTCTGTCATGGCAGCTAAAAAGCAACTCTTTGGGGTGACCGTGTGGCCGTCAGGGCCGTCAGGCTGCTGTGCTCTTTCTGTCTCTGACTGCCGTCTGATCGGGTCATCTGGGCTCATGGGCTCATCTAAAACTGCAAGAACTCCCCAGTGGACGCCAAGAGGGAGGGACGCAGGCGGGTTTCCCAGCCTGATGGACACGCAGGGTGTGGGCGGCTGTCCTGTGCATAATAGCACACCCTGGTCTCCACATTCTAGATGCCAGTAGCCGTCCCCTCCCAGGTGTGACAGCCAAAATGGTCCCCAGGCATTGCCAGTGTCCCCTGGGGGGTGGATTACCTTCAGTTGAGAACCACTGTACGGCAGGATCTGGGTCCGTTTCTGGGGATGCTAAGCAGATGCCCTGGAGCTGAGGGCCAGCTTGCTGTGGCCGTGCTAGCCTTCGTTTCACCCGTGGTCAGGGGGGTGAGGGACAGGTAGAAGGCGCTGCTGAGAGGTGAGGTGGCTAGCACTGGACAGATCGCTATGAAAATGATGCTGGGGACGTGGGGCAGGCTTCCGATGGCCATGCAGACCTTACCTGAGAGTGACCTGGTACCCCAGAGCCTGGGACCTGGTGAGCTGGTCAGGTGACAGGTGCTTTCCAGTCTGACACACCATGAAATCCAGAGGTCTCCATATCACGTAGAAAGGCACCTTTCGGACACTGGGGGGTGAAAGGTTAAAAAAAAAAAAAGATAAATTTAGGATTTTGCAAAATGAGAGAAAAACCAAAACCCAAGGACACACAACTTCTTTCCCTCCTGCACAGCAGAGTCAGCTAGTTAAAAGCTGAAGTTTGGTATATTGACAGAGGATTAAACATGTAGGAATAAACTGAACAAGAAATGTGCAACTCACCCAATAGCACCAGTCTGGTTTAACAGAAATACTAGTAGGCGCCATCAGTCTTCATCGGCGGATACTGATCAAAAGCAACACTGAAAAGGAGAATCCAAAATTCAATCTGTAGGTACTTGAGGGGGAGGGCCAGGTCAGGTGGTGACCACATGTTTCACATTCTACATGCCCACCAGCAAGATAGAATGTGACCTTGGTCTCCAGCTCAGGGACACAGGACAAGCCGCCTGGGCCACGCACCTAGGCTGGTACTGCTGCGACCAGCGCTGCCAAACTAAGGTTCCTGTGAGGGGCGATGGGAGATTAGAAGAAATAAAGTCAACACGCAGATCTTGAAGATAAAACGGCTGCTCTCTGATGGAGAAGCAGGTCTAAGGAATCACTCCAGCAGTCTTTATTATATATGTCTCTAAATCAGATTAAAGATTGTGCAAGCATTATTCTCTGTATTCATGAAAGTTGCAGAGTTAGCAACAGTATGCAGCTATTTCCTCAGTTTCATTGTACAGTTGCAACGTGCAATGTTAGGAGCACGGTGCAGCTCTCAAGGAAGTCCATTGTCTAAATTTACTAATTTGCGGCAGATTCAGGAGCAGCAGAACTGGTGAAATATTGTGGCTATCTTAGCAAGGAAGTTCCGTCATTCCCAGGAGCTGCCCTGCCTGAGAATAAGGTCCAAGCTGTTAAGACTCTAGCATGGAGGACATCTCCATAGCAACCGGGCATCCAATGCCTACGCACAGAAACTTTCCCAGTCACCAAGTATGCCACAGCCATGAAGTCATCTGGGACCCCAGTCTCAGACACTGGTCTCCCAGGCACTGTCACCGCTCTCCACATGGTATCTGACAAGGAACCAAGAAAGGAAACCTGCCTGGGGACCGCAGCCCTGGAGCCAGGCCACCCCCTGGGGCCGTTGGAGGGACACGAGGCTGCGTTGCACTGTGTGCTTCTCCAACCCACCCAGAGCACCCTCCGCCCAGCCTTTCCGCCCTGAGTATATTCTCCATCTCCTGAAAACCAGCGCAAAACCTTCTCCCCCGTGGAGGCGCGTGGGCGAGGAGTGCTGGAGCGTCTCTGTCCTGCTTCTGTGAGGAAGCAGGCCGCTACCCTACAGGCCACCACTGTGAGCTGCCTTCTCACACTCACCTTCCCTGGGGCTGGACTGTGCCTGTGGAGGGGCGCCCGTGCCCTGGCTGGTACTGCTGCGGTGCAGTGGCGCACACCCGGAATCCCCGCCCCTTTGAAGGCTGAGGCAGGAGGAGGGCCAAGGGAGGTGGGGGAGCTCAGTGGAAGTGTGATTGCCCAGCGTGAGCCGGGGCTGGGTTTGATCCGCAGCACTGAAAGTTGAAAAGAAAAAGGCTGTTTGGCTGGGGCTCTTCAGTTGAAGCAGTGCACCCCGGGGTGGCGAAATGGCAGTGACCCTTGGCCTTAATCATGAACTCCGGCTTAGAGGCTTTCCTGTCCCCCACACTTAGATGCATGGAATGTGCCTCTTGCTCTCCCATCCCCCACCCCACTGGGGATGCATCCTGGGTGCTCGACCACCGAGCCACACCCCGATCGTTTTATTTTTATTTTGAGGCACGTCTGGCTAAGTTGCTGAAGGTCTTACTGGGTTGCCCAGGCTGATCTCAAACTTGTGATCCTCCTGTCTCAGCCTCCCAGGTCCCTGGGATCACAGGCACATACAACCTGTGGTGGCCCTAGAGTCTTTGATTTTTGAACACGATTTTGCTGCCAAAAAAATATAAATGAAACACGAAAGGCCACAAAACAGAAAGCCAGGTCAGAACGAATCAGGCAACCAGGACTGTCCCCACAAAGCTGGCCCCTCCGTGGCCGGGGACCACTGGGCTGAGGCCGGGTCCGGGCCCTTGCGCAGGCTCTGCTGGCCTCGGGTTCTGTTAGGCTGCGTGTGCGTGGGCACCTCCCGTGTCCCACCCATCAGTGTGGCTCCCAGGCTCCCTGGTCTCTGGTCATGACGTCGTGACGGGCAGGACCCACGGGCAGAGCAGGCCTGGTGGGCCAGGGAGGGTCTGCCCTCTTTCTTGCCAGTCCCAGGACCTGAAGAGATGCCCCGCCTGGGTCTTATCTGCCCCTGCCAGCCCACTCCTGTCTGTGCAGCTGGGCCCCCGGTGGGCTGGGTGGAGGTGGCCGTGTCCTGCTCTGACCCTCCTGATGTGGCTCTGAGGGGCTGGGCACGCCGTTGAGCCCTTCCTTCCTTCCCCAGGGAGGCTCTGGAGGGCCCTGGGGGGCCGTGGGCCTGCCTAAAATGAACACCGGGGCAGGAGGAAGTCTCCTGCACACCCCACTTCCCTTCCTCTGGGCGCGTGCACACAAGGGAGCCTGGCTCAGAGGCTAGGCCTGTCGTCAGCTTCCCGGAACCTCCGTCCTGTCCTGGCCGTGGCTGCCCATGCCACCTCCCCAGGGCCTGGCTCTTGCACCTGCAGAAGCAGCGGGGATAACGGGGGCAGCAGGGCACAGCAGGGGCAGCAGGCAGCTTGAGGGTTCCTCCCCAAGGTGGTCGGGACCTCCCTTCAGACTCCGTATTGTCCTTGGACTCTGTGAATTATATTCATATAATCTATAATTTATATTATGCTGGCACTTCAGCCTCCACTAGCAGCCTCCATTAGCGTCCTCCAACTGCTGGGGTGGAGACGTGGACAGAGGCCCAGGCTGGGGCCGGTGGAGTGGAGGGCGAGTTTGAGAAGGGGGAGAAACCGCCGCTGCAGTGTGAAGGTAAGGAGTGCTTCATCTTGTGGATGGTGGGAGCCTTTGGGGGCCAGAGGAGGGACATCAGCGAGGCCCCGGGCGGTCCCTGCCCCGCCTGCTCCCGGTCAGCTGCTGCCCTCTGCCTTGGTGCACAGGCTCCTTCCCTCGTCTGGCCAGGGCCTCTTCTTAGGCTTCTGGCTGGAGGGCCAGGGTACTCTCCGCCTCCCGGCCCTTGGCAGTGACCTTGTGACCGCCCCATGAGGGAGGTGAGCTGCCCGCCAGAGCTGACAGCCGTTAGTGGCGCAGTCTGAGGCTGTGGACTGTCCAGCTCCACACCAGGGCCCTGACTTTCCCAACTCTGGGCTCCTGGGTTTGAGGGCTGCAGACGGTGAGGTTCCCACGGGCAGGGCCTGGGGCTGAGGCCGGCCTGGGCTTGCCTTGCCCTGAAGGGCATGCGGGAGAACAGGGCAATGTGCAGAGGCGACCTCCGTCTGGGTCTTCTGTGTTTACACGTATTCAATGACATCGTAACTAGACAGGTGTCGTGTTTTATCCTTCTGTCTGTGGAGTAAAAGGTACGTGATGTGATTTACATGATTCACTGCGGTGTGAGGTACACGAAGGTGAGGTTCACCACGTCCCTCGGTAGGTCTGAAGTCAGTGGCATCCAGTGTGTCCACACTGCGGCTTGGCCATCCCCACTGTCCCCCTCTAGACCCCTTCATCGATCCAAGCAGAAACTGTCCCTGTTAGACGCCAGCTCCTGTCCCCTCCCCCTCACGGCCCGGGAGCCTCTGCTCCACTGTCGCCAGCGTCCTGTCCTGGCCACGGCTGCCCATGCCCCCTCCCAGGGCCTGGCTCTTGCACCTGCAGAAGCAGCAGGGGCAGCGGGGACAGCAGGGACAGTGGGGACAGAGGGGACAGCGGGGACAGAGGGGGCAGCAGGACACAGTGGGGGCAGTGGGGGCAGCAGGCACAGCAGGGGCAGTGGGGACAGTGGGGACAGCGGGGGCAGAGGGGGCAGAGGGGCAGCGGGGGCAGCAGGGACAGCAGGGACAGCGGGGGCAGTGGGGGCAGCAGGGGAAGCGGGGGCAGTGGGGACAGAGGGGCAGTGGGGACAGTGGGGACAGAGGGGACAGAGGGGCAGCGGGGACAGCGGGGACAGAGGGGCACAGCGGGGGCAGCGGGGGCAGCGGGCAGTGGATCTCCAGGAATTCATTCCCTTCTTGTCCCACAGGGGCTTGGTGTTGGTGCCAAGCCTCTGGCTCAAGGGACACTCAGATCCCCAGGGGTGAGTCTGTGGCCAGCTCTGTGCGGGCAGAGTTAGGCCGGACTCTCGGGGTCTTATCTGACGTCCTATCAGGCGGTCCAGTCCCCGTGTCTGTTTCCCTGACCACGTCGCAGAATTGTGAAATGGTGCGGTTGGCCACCCCAGGGTGGGGCTGGGGCCACCAGTGTGCCTTCCTGTGAAGGCCTCATGTGACATCCAGGCACAAAGCCTCTTCCCGCAGACCCGCCATCCGTCCTTCTGGGCTGTCCTGTCATCTCCTGGGCCCAGCAGAGCCATGGCCAGCACCCTCACCACGCTGTTCTACCTCGGTGAGTTCTGGGAGGGACAGGGGCGGGAGATGGGAGGGTGGCCACCTCAGGTCTGGCCTCTGGTCCTGCCCAAGTGGCCAGCCGTCTCCTGCTCCGGCTGCAGGCCTGGCCCCAGAGGCCCTGGTGTCCAGACTAGTCTGGGCTGTGAGCGGGGCCTGAGGAGGAAGCCCCTCTCTTCTCTCTCTCTCCCAGGACTGTCTCTGAGCCCTGGAATCCAGGCCCAGCACGGTGAGTCCACCTCCCAGGCTCCCTGGGCTCTTCTTCTCTCCAGACAGCTCTGGCCAGTCAGGCGTGCTGCCCTCTGTGTCCTTGCCGTCACGTGGGCAGTGCCTGGTCAAGACGCGGAGGAGACCCCCTCCCTCCTGAAGCAGGGCCACACCCCAGTGAGTTCGGGGGCAGCAAGACTGAGGCTGACACAGCAAATAGGGAAGTGCAGGGCTTCGCCCAGACGGCTCCTCAGGACTCGGGGACACCCGCCTAAGGGGGTGCAGGCCCGAGGCCAGACGTAGGTGAAAGTTGCGCCTCTACCCTCTGCAAGCCCCTGCACTCAGCAACCCGCTCTGCCTGGAGTCCAGTCCTGCGTTTCCATGGTGGCAGGTGCCACCTGGTGGTCACAGTGTCCTGGTGGTGCTTGTAACCCTGTCCCTCAGCTCTGGTGACAGAAAGGGCCAGGACCTCAGGGTCACCACAGGGCTGCAGCCCAGGGCGTGTCCCGTCTGGTGGGGGCTGCTGTTCTCTGTCACCCATGGTGTCTCCGGTTTGCTGGGATGAGGCTTCCATTTTAAATTCTGAGACAGGGTCTTGCTGAGTTGCTGAGGCTGACTTTGAACTCGGGCTCTTCCTGTCTCACTTCCCAAGCTGCTGGGGTCACAGGGGTGGGCCAACGTGCCCAGCGTGCTTCGTTTTTAAAGCCAGTTGTCGGGGACTGTGAACACTGCAGACGTGTCACTGTGCTGTGTCCTGGGCTCAGGCAAACATCAGGAAGTGTGGCTGGAACTGACCAACGTGAAAGCCACCGGACACAGGTGCTGTCTTTCCGGGGTGTTCTTTGGGGCAGCGTGCCAGGGTGTCTCTGGAGGTGTTGGGTCTCAGTTGTTGGAGCCGGTCCTCTCCATTTTGGGGGTGGTGACGGCAAGCGTGAGGGTGCTGTTGAGTTCACAATAAAGTGTTTAGAACACAATGATCACGTGGTGGCCGTGCCCGTCATCCCGGTGACTGGGCATGTCTAGGCCACTCGGCAAGACCCTGCCTCAAAATAGAAAATAAAAAGGGCCGGGATGTGGCTCAGTGGGAGAGCACCCCTGGGTTCCCTCCCCGGGGACACACGCGTGCACACACCCAGGACTGAGCGCCTGGCTCGCTGTTCAGAGCAGGACTGGGAAGCCACCAGCCCTCAGGAGACACACGGAGACCGTCCACCCAGGAGCATGGAGCCTCCTTGGGAGCGTGTAGTGACCTCGGTGCGGCCGGCCCGTGGCCAGGCCTCTGAAGACTGGCTCCGAGATGAGTCCTCTCCTGCTCCTCCCGTGGATGTTCGTTTGGCATGTCAGCTGGTCACTGTCATTGCAGGTAGCTTTTACGGAGAGTCGGTCATCCCATGCAACTGTCCTCCTTGGTTTCTTTATCCCAACGAGGTCCTCAGCACCGACCGACAGAGTCTCCACCTTTATACCTGCGAGTGTGCGAGGGAGTCCAGGACCAAGCGCTTTCCTGCGGGGAGCCTGATCCTGGGAGATGGTGTCCAGGAGACGGCGTCCAGGAGACGGCCCAGGCTGTGGTCGGTGTTGCTGCTGTGGAGAGGGGCGCCGTTGGGGAGGTGCTGGTGAGCCTAGGGGTGGAGCCAGCACCTCTGAACGGGGTGCCCAGGACGTGGTCCCTGAAGATGCAGCAGCAGGCCACACAGCGAGCTGGGGACAGGTCCCGGGAGAGGAGCGGCGGCACGTGGCACGGCTGTGCCAGGGGCCGGTGCTGCCCATGGCTGGGGCAATGGCACCACTGTGAGAGGGAGGGCCCTTCTAGTCTCCCCTGGCCTTCCCCTCCCTGGGGAAAGAGGCCCGCGTGGCCGAGGGCTGTCTCCCCTCCTACCTCAGGGTCTCACCAGGAGCCCGGGACTCCCGGCCCACAGGCCACAAACATGCTGCGGGGTCCCTCCCCTGCTGCCACGGGGACATGCCTCCGTCATGACGGTGGCCTTGGGCAGTGGTGTGGGAAGGGCTTGCACACGTGGACTTTGGGTTCCTCTGCTTGGGCACTAAGCAGGCTCTGGGATGAGGGGGCCGTGTCTTGGGTGGCCACCTCCTTGGGGGGGACCCTGCACACCATCACGTGCTCTGACCTATACACTGCTCAAGACAGGGAGGCCCTGGAGGCCGGTGGCAGAGTGAGGACAGGATCTGGTGGGTGTGTTAACAAGGACTGCTCTGCACTGGGTGGGGAACGGAGACGCTGGCCGCGGCTGGCCCAGGAGGCTGACTGGGTGGTGACTGATCATCCCAGACAGAGGGCGCGGGCGCTGGCCACCACTGGCTGGAAGAGCCCTGTCGGTTCTGGGTCAGGGAGAAAGGCCGAGGTGTGCCGCAGTCTGGCTGGGCACAATCAGGAGCCACTTGTCAAAAGAAACTAACTTTATTTTTAGAACCACACACGCCAAACAAAACAGCCTCTCAGGAAAAACCCTCAGAGCCTCAACTGCCACCACCGGCTTTCCACAAGCCTCTCTCTCCCACACCAGCTTCTCTCCACCTCCCCCAATCCTCCTGCTCTTGAGGCCGATTCATGTGGGCGGAGCCAAAAAAGTCCCCCAATGAGCAGCTCCGTGGTCTGAAAGGGCAGGGAAACAGCCCAATGAGCATCACCGCAGAGGAGCCAATCAGCTAGATGTTGCTGGGGCCGAGGAGCCAATCAGCTAGATGTTGCTGGGGCCGCTGTGAGCCAATCATCAGCCAGCAGCTGGAAGTTTGCTGGCAGCTGGAAGTTTGCTGGGGCCCCTTTGGCTGTGGCTCTCAACATCTCCCTCTCTCTGTTTAAACAACAAGCATGTGGCTTAGGGACCGTGCCTGTTAGGCAGTCCAATTCAACATATGGTCCTTACCCGTCATCGGATGAACTGACCTCTAGGCGTCAGCCTCCTGTCTTAGGTTGGTACCACTGCAATTGGATCATACCCGTCACTGACTACCGGTCCAGCATACAGCCATACTTGTGGATAGGCCTTTGCACCTGTGGGGGGGTGAGGTTCTTTGCCTCACCTCTGTTGGCCCCCAAATTTTAGACCATCACTAGTAGAGGAGGATGCAAAATGCCATGACATTAAGCCAATTGAGGGCTCCTTTGAAAAATTGTACCACCGGTGACATCATCAGCAAAAATACCCCAACACTACCACAAGTCGCTGCACCAACAGATAGTTCACAATGCATACAGGTGAGCTCACAATGTGTCCAGGCAAGTTCTGCAAGCAGTTCAGTGATGGCTATTGTAGAAGCTGTAGATTGGTTTTATCTTTGACTTCACCAGCACTGGGATGAAGATAGGAATTCTGGCAATAATGGCTAAAGAAAAAATTATGTAACATTCCAGAAGGCACTAAAAGAAAACAATTTTCTTAACAATTTACATTGTCTTCACCGGCACTGGGATGAAGATAGGAATTCTGGCAATAATGGCTAAAGAAAAAATTATGTAACATTACAGAAGGCACTAAAAGAAAACAATTTTCTTAACAATTTACATTATCTTTAAGAGAATTATTAAATATAATGAAAAGGAAAGGTGAAAGTAAACAAACAGATCTATTAACCTTCTTTTTTGTTTACATATTAAAACAATCCTCAACAGTTGTTTACCCAATTTAAATTAAACCATATAAATCACGTGAAAAAAAAATATTTGGATCCATTTTATCATGAGCGCTCATCTTATATGATATATGGACACACATACATTCAAACATATAACACAAAACACAAGTGTGCACACATAATATAATACATACAACACATAACATTATAGTAAAGGCCTTATAACTTTTTACAGGTGAAATCTCCATTGCAATGTTTAAAAACTCTATAGTCAAAAAATAGAACTGATCAGCAAAACATTAACCTAGGTCTGTATGAGCTCAAAAAACAAAATAGAACTTCATGATATGGCAAAGGGCAATAATAAAATAGATATTGAAAAAAGCATCCTGGTTCTGTTGCAGATGTAAGAATAGCCAAACTGGAGTTTTGGATATCAGTTGTTATGGATTTGAGCCAAATCATCTTCTTTTTGGTCTGTAGAAATCGCTTTAGTTAATCTTTCTGGAATCCAAATCGGCTGCTGTTCTCCCTGTGGAAACACATAAACAGACCCCCGACTCCAGACAATCACTGGGTCAGGACCTTGGTTAATCTCTCTGGAATCCAAATTTAAAAAGTTTAGAGTAAAAAGGGTTATTTTAAGTTTATCTTTGGGGAATATATACCCCTTCCCAATTCCTTCTTTTTGCTTTAATAAGTACATTTTAATAGTTTGATGAGCTCTTTCAACTATGCCTTGTCCCTGTGGATTGTATGGGATTCCTGTTATATGAGTAATGCCAAATGTTGAGCAAAATTGTTTAAAAGAGGTAGAAGTATAACCAGGGGCATTATCTGTTTTTAACTGTTTTGGAACACCCACAGTGGCAAAATTTTGTAAGCAATGAGCTATAACATCTTTAGTTTTTTCTCTGGCATGAAGGGAGCCCATCAAAAATCCAGAAGAAGTATCAACTGTAACATGCAAATATTTTAATTTTCCAAATTCTGGCAAGTGTGTGACGTCCATCTGCCAAATATGGTTAGGTATCAATCCTCTAGGATTGACTCCAAGATTAACTTGTGGTAAAAAGGTCACACAATTTTGACATTGTTTTATTATTTGTCTAGCTTGTTCCTTAGTTATTTTAAAACGCTTTTGTAAAGTATTAGCATTGACATGGAACTTTTTATGAAAATTTGTAGCTTCTTCTAGTGTAGAGAAAATATGTATGTCATGTGTAGTTTTATCTGCTAAATCATTGCCCAAACTAAGGGCTCCAGGCAATCCTGTATGTGCCCTGATATGTCCTATAAAGAATGGATCTTTTCTGTCCCAGATTAGACTTTGTATAGTGGAAAGCAAAGAGAAAACAGTAGAAGAAGGGGAAATCCTACCAGCATCTTCAAGAGATACTATAGCATTAACTACATACTGACTATCAGAAAATAAATTAAATACAGAATCTTTAAACATCACAAAAGCTTGTAAAACTGCATTAAGCTCTACCTTTTGAGCTGATTGTTTGGGTACTAAAAATGTAAAAGTTTGATCAGGGGTAACTACTGCTGCTGTACCATTATTTGACCCATCAGTGAATATATTTGGAGCATTCATGATAGGTGTTTTTCTTGTCATTTTTGGAAAAATTACAGGATGCAATGACCAAAAAGACAATAAAGGATTAGATGGTAAGTGGTTATCAAATGAAACATTAGATTTGCACATGATTATTGCCCAAGTATTTAACTCATTAGCTAACTCATCAATTTGATTCATAGTATATGGAGTAATAATTTTATTGGGAGAAATTCCAAACACTCCCTTTGCTGCTTTTATTCCTTTGAGTATTAATTGTCCTACAGCCTCAGGATACCTAGTAAGAATAGTGTTAGGACAATAAGATAAATGTATCCATAATAATGGACCTTCTTGCCAAAATACTCCTGTAGGAATATTTTTTGTTGGTAGTACAATAAATAATAAAGGCAAACTTATATCAATTCTATCCAAATGCATATTTTCCATATATGTTTCAATGATTTTTAATGCCTTTCTTGCTTCAGGCGTTAACATTCGGGGTGAATTTGGATCTGATGGACCTTTTAGGATATCAAATAAAGGTCCCAACTCTCCTGTTGGTATACCTAAATAAGGCCTTATCCAATTTATGTCTCCTAATAACTTTTGAAAGTCATTAAGTGATTTGAGTTGATCTACTCGTATTTGAATTTTGGTGGATGGACCATGGTTGAGGATAATAGAACTCCTAAATAATTAATTGGAAAATTTAATTGTACTTTATCTATTGCTATCTCTAGATTATAATTTTTTAATAAGTTTGTAAGTGTGGCATAACATTCTAGCAATGTGTTTTTATCTTTGTGTGCTAATAATACATCATCCATATAGTGAAATATTTGTAGTTCAAAAGCTTGTAAAACTTCCAGCTGCCAGCAGAGGTGGACTGATGGCCAGCGTTGGCTTGGGGGTCTGTGGTCTGGCGGGGGCTCCTCCTTGCCTGTGGGTGGCACCTTCTTGTCTCCTCACCCTGAGAGGAGAGAGAAGCAAGCTGTCCTTGTCTCTTCCCCAAGGGAATCACTCCTTCCATGAAGGGGCTGTCCTCCCACCCCGGTTACCTCCCTACACCCATCTCCCTGCCGTCCTGCTGGGGATCAGCTCACAGATGGCTTTTCAGGGACACGTGTAGTACACAGAGGTGGGGCCAGGTGAGATGCCTGCTCAGCATGGCCTTTGCTGACCCTTCAGGAGCTGGTGGCCCGTCACCGTGTCTTGCACTGGGATGAAGTGTCTGGGTCGCTGGATGCAGGGGACCTGGGAGAGGTGGCTCTCCCCAGAAGGGCTGACATCTCCCCAGCAGCCAGGGTGACAGGCCTTTCCTTGAAGGGGACCTGGGGCTGTATCCGGTGGCCGTCAGGGTGGGTCGGCCCCAGCAGGAGCTCTGGCCTGATGGTCTGACATGTTGTTAGACACCCACTAGTGAGATGCACCGGGTCGGTGGCATGAGTCTTGAGTTTAGGGCACGAGTCTGGGACTGGATATAAGCTGTGACTCACCAGCCTAGAGATGGGTTGAAACCCAGGAACCAGGGAGACCACATGGGGGCCAGGAGAGTGCCCAGCTGCGGTCTGAGGACAGTTTTTGAGCTGCTACACAACTTGGAGGTTGGGCAGAAGAGAGTGCAGAGATAGAGAAAGAGCGTCCAGGGGAGGATGAGGTGGGCCAGAGCTTGTGGAGCCAGGGGCAGGGCAGTGCTTGGTGGGGGATGGGGCTGGGGAGCCGGGGAGCGGGGTGTGGGGGTGGGGTGGGGCAGGGCAGGGTCGGGGACGGGGCTGAGGCAAACCCCACTGGTGCATGCAGGGTCTGCCTCGTTCCTGTTGAGACGTGGCCAAGGCCGTGGACAGGAAGTGGACGGGGAGAGCTCACTCCCTGGGCTCCTGGGCCTCTCAGGCGAGCACGAAGAGGGGCTTCCTGGCGTCTGGACCTTCTGTCTCGGTTCTGTCTCCCTTCCAGGGTCTCTCCCCAAGCCCTCCATCTGGGCGGTGCCAGGTCCGGTGGTCCCCCAGGGGAGCCCTGTGTCCATCTTCTGCAGAGGTCCTCCTGGGGCAGCTCGGCAGCGTCTGCAGCAAGTGGGAGGCTCCCGCGTGTGGGCTGCAGAAAGCCTGGGAGACGCCCAGGCGGAGGCCGCGTTCTCCTTCCAGCAGGCCACGCCCGGCCACTCGGGGATGTATGTCTGTCAGTACAAGACGCAGGACAGCTGGTCCGAGAGGAGTGACCCTCTGGAGCTGCTGGTCGTGGGTGAGGGCCCCTCCCGTTGTCCCTCCGGGCCCCGTCCTCCTCTGTCCACCCCCGCCCTCCGCTGTGCTCACTGCCGTCCCCCACTGGTCACCTGATCGCTCAGCCCCACCCCAGAACAGGGCCAGAATCTGGGTCTTGGGCAAATGAAGAGAAGCTCAGGGAGTCTCCTGGGCCACTGTGGCCCTGTTAGCGTCACAGCATGGACGGCAACGTCAGCATCACCTGGCGTGTGTGAGAGAAGAAAATGCCGGTGTGGCCTCGAAGAATTGAAGCAGGGAGGCACACGGCCACACGCCGCGTGTTCCCCAGGGATTCACACGGCCACATGCCGCGTGGTCACCAGGGACCCACACGGCCACAGGCCACGTGTTCCCCAGGGACTCACGAGGCCACACGCTGCGTGGTCACCAGGGCAGGTTTCCAAAGGGTGGAAACAACCCAAGTGTCCCTCTGTGGACTGAATGGAGAAGCAACCTGTGGCCTATCACGCCATGGATTGTCACTTGGCCACTAGAGAACTGCACACTGACACGTTGCGCAACGTAGCGGCACCTCGGTGACGTCAGTGCTGGTGGAAGCAGCCAGACACAAAAGACAGCGCGCTGCCTGGTTCAGTTCATGTGAAACTCCCAGGTGGACGAGTCCACAGAGACGGAAAGCAGACGAGTGGTCACAGCAGGGGCAGGGTGTGACCGGGTGACAGCTTTCAGGGCACAGGGTTCCTCTGTTGGAACTGGAGAGAGGAGGCGATGGCCCAGTTTTGTACACGTACTAAATGCTTCTGAATCATTCACTTTGAAATGGTTGATTTTACGTTATGGGAATTTCACCTCCATTAAAAAAAGACAGCCAGGTGATGAATGGACCCCTCCCCGCACCAGCCACAGAGACCCTGGGGGCCTGGGCTTGGTTCACCTGCCTTCTGGGGTCTTGGGCAGGGCCGTGCCATGGCTGTCGTCCTGGTGGAGACAAGAGGCCAGCCCAGGCTCTGCAACCCGACTCTCCTCTCGGCCTTGATGGGAGCCTGTGGCTTCTGTGGCTCCTCGTGGCTCCTCATGCTCCTTGTAACACCAGGGTTCTTTTCCGCCAGGTGTCTCCAAGGACAAACCCACCCTCTCGGTCCAGCCTGGCCCCATGGTGGCTTTAGGAGGCAGCGTGACCCTTCACTGTCACTTACCAAGCGCCTATGACGTGTTCCTTCTGTCCAAGGGAGCAGAACTGGCCTTGCCTGCAGGCTCCATCCAAGGCGGCCAGGGAAAGTTCCTCTTATCCCCTGCCACCCGGGCCCACGGGGGGACCTACAGATGCTACGGCTCTGTCAACACCTCCCTCCACGAGTGGTCAGCTCCCAGCAACCTCCTGGAGCTGATGGTCACAGGTGAGGAAGCTCTGTCCAGTGCCCGTGGGAACCTGGCTCCCCAGGGCACTTGGTAGCCCTGGGGAAGGCGGGTGTAAGGAGAGATGGTGGCTGGTCCCTGAGCAGTCTCACCACCCGCTCACTCTTGCACTGTGAACAGGCCCCTGCCCAGCGGCGAGGCCCCAGGGGACTGGCCTAGGGACAACATGGCCTCCCAACCTTTGTTGGACACCTCTACCCTCCCCCTACCCACTGATCTTGGCTGGGTGGTGCTGGCTGCTGTAAAATGGGGGTCTCATTATTACTTACGTGTTGTGAGGCCACAGATCAGGAGCCGATGGCCAGGGAGAGGCAGTGCCAAGGCCCGGAGCTTGCCCAGATGCAGGGCCAAGAGGAGGCAGAGCCGGGAGGGCAGGGCAGCGGTGTGGGGTGGTGGTTAGAGTGGGCTCAGCGGCTCTGGTGTGGGGCTGCTGGCTCTCGGGGCGGGGCAGAGGGCTGCCACCCGAGGGGCGATGCCCAGGAGGAGTGCTGGCCGCCGGGGCTCTGGCTGGCTTGGATCTGAAGGGTGCGCTGTGGGCCCTAAGAATCATCAGGCTGGGCAGGGTGGTCTCCCTGCTGGCCGCTGGTGGGTGGAGGCACAGGACAATGATCCGGCCCTCTGCCTAGTGACACGTTTTGTGGACGCGAACGAGGACTTTGCTCTCAGCTCACCAAGAGTCCTTCAAACCCGGGGCCCCTTCCTCCCTTCTCGTGGGCGCTTCTGGGGCTGGACTGCTCAGTGCAGGCCTGGGGTGTGCTTTGACCCTCCCCTCTCCCTTCCACCCCACAACATGCCCGCTCGCTCGGGGTTCTCCTCCCCTGGTGAGGCTCCGCGAGCCATCCTGCTGGCGCCCTCACCCGGCTCAGGGCGCAGGGACCGCTGTGGACGCTGCGGGTGTTTGTTACTAATGCTCAGCGGCTGGGATCCTGTGCTCAGCCCGCATCTAGGCCCTCTTGTCCCCTGGCCCTCAGGGACTCAGCCTGCAGAAGCCGGTACCTGCAGCCCACCACCTGTGCATTTCAGGCCCTGGCTTTACAAACAGGGTATCGTTGTCTTGTGTCTCAGAGTTGTGGGTTCATATCTCGCTGTCTCGTCCATCTCCATCCAGTGACTTTGGACTGCGCCCAGCACAGCCTGGGGCCAGGTCCACCCACCGTCTGCGCAGCCTGGGCACCGAATGTCCTTCGTGCCTTTTCATGTGGGTTATGGGAATTGAGCTCAGGGCCTGGTGCACAGCAAGCTTGTGCTCTACCCCTGAGCCACACCTGGTTGGAAAAAGGCCCAAGACATAGAGAATAACACGGGTGCCAAGTGTGAGTTATATGGAACGCACGCTCTGTTCCCATGGGCGGAGCGTTAGTGGAACCTGGCCACGCGTGGTCGAGAGCTGAGAGGTGGCCACGTGTGGTTGGCTGCTTTCTTGCTACGAGGGCAGAGCTGAGAGGTGGCGGCAGAGCTCGCCAGGCCTGTGAAGCTTAAAGATTACCACCTGGCAGTTTCCAGGAAAACAGGCCACTTATTCTGGAACTTTCCACAGCACACATGGCACCGTGAAGACATTCTCATTTCTACTACGGCTTTCAAAGGTTCTTTTTGAAATTTAGCTCCTTAGTCCATTTTAAGTTGGTTTTTGAACAGGGTGTGAACTTGGGATCTCGAATGAGTTTTTCCCCTGCTGCAGAAGGGAGCCGCGAGTGGCCAGCTGTTGACAGTCCGTGCCACCTGGTGGTGAGGCCCAGGAAGGAAAGCCGGGCAGGGCCAGGCCCTGGGGTTGGAGGGCAGGGTGTTTCAGAGCCTTGGTACAAAAGACCCCATGCAAGGTGGTCACTGAGCATTCAGGGAAGGGCGGCCAGGCAGAGGGGACGGTGTGGGAAAGGTCAGGAGGGTGGATTTCCATACAGAGAAGGGATGACAGTGTGGGTGGAACAGAGTGTGTGTGGGTGGAACAGAGTGTGTGTGGGTGGAACAGAGTGTGTGTGGGTGGAACAGAGTGTGTGTGGGGTGGCTTTCAGGGTGAAGGGAAGGCCACACCGGCACCCACTGTGGCTTTCTCCCTCTAGGAGTGTACAAAAAGCCTCAGCTCTCGGCTGTTCAGGGCCCCTCTGGGGCACCCCAGCATATGACGACCCTGCAGTGCCGCTCAGAGATGTGGTTCGACCTGTTCCTTCTGTCCCAGGAGGGCAGTGCCAACGTCACCCAGCGCCTCAGATCTCAGTATAAACGCGGGTTCTTCCAGGCCAACTTCACCCTGAACGCCAGCGAGCAGGCCCGCGGGGCCACCTACAGATGCTACGGTTCTCTAAGCTCCTTCCCCTCGCTGTGGTCAGACCCCAGTGAGCCCCTGAGGCTCTCAGGAAGAGGTGAGCCCCACGGCCCACCTTCTCTGCAGGATCAAGCGTTGTCCACTTGCCCAGTGCTGAGGGGGTGACCCAGAGCCTCTGGGGACAGGGCAGGGTCCTGTGGGGGTAGCAGCCCCTCAAAAAAACAGAGGAGATGGCCTTGGCAGACCAGCCCCTGGAGAAGGTGGTCCCCTAGTTCCTGTGACTTATCTGGGGCCCAGTCCTTCAGACAGGCAGGTGGCCAGCAGGGGTTTGGGCCAGACTTCAGCACCTCCTCACCACCTCTGCCAGGTGCCCTTGTGCAAGGGGCCACCTGCGTAGCCACACACACCTGGGAGCCGGGACCTCAATTCCCTGGGCAGCTGGCTGGGCTCACAGTCCGCTCTGTGTGTGTTTCTGGGGTGTGATTCTCCATCCTGGAACCCCACCCCACCCATTTCTTCTCTGCAGGGTCTGCTGCCTGGAATTCCTACAAGGTGAACATGCTCAGGCTGAGCCTGGCTGGTGTCATCCTGCTGATCCTGCTGGGGTTCCTGGTGGAGGCCTGGCTCAGCAGGAGGGACCCCCGGGGAGCAGTCGAGAGGCCCCCTGCATTGCCAGACGGGGACAGAGTCCTGTGATGGTGACACTGCGTGGGCCTCCTGGGCCATTGGTGCTCACAGGAGCCTCACTCTGGGTGGGTCGGTCACTTACCCACGGACCCTCCCAGTGGTGGGCATCATCCCGTCCATGCAGTCCTGCCTTTCCTGCTGCCTCTCTGCTGGATCTGGAGCATCCTGGCTCATCACCTCCCGGCTCTCAGACCCCTGGACCTGGGCAAGTCACACCACTGGTCGTCCCAGGTCTCCAGGGGCAGAAGGTAGATGATGGCGCTTCTCAGTCTCCATCCTGCCTGAGCCAATTCCTCATGACAAATCTCTCCGTACCCTATGGGTTCAGATTCCCTGAGGACCCTGTAATACAAGCCACACGATCTTATCAACTGATGTAGAGAAGGTGTGTGACAAAACCCAGCACTTATTCACGATGAAAGAAAGTACCAGCAAGCTAGGAACAGAAGGCACCCTGCAGCTTGATAAAAGAACATTCCGCACGGTGGGAGACTGGATGCTTTCCCCTGGAGACCAGGAGCAAGACGAGGAGGCCCCTCTATCCCACAAGAGCAATCGGACAAGAAAAAGAAACAAGGCGCATAAATCACAGAGGAACTGAAGCTATCTCTATTGCAGATGATGCAATGCACATGTCGGAAACTCCAAAGACCGCAAGCCCTCAGCCTGCAAAAGTCAGTTTCATTGCTTTACACAAAGAACAACTTATCCTAAAAGGAAAGCAAGAAGACAATCCCATTTGTGATGGCATCAAAAATACTCAAGACTAAATTAACCAGGAAGTGAAAAATCTGTGCTCTGATGATTACAAAACTAATAAAAGAAATGGAAGAAGACAAAAATCAGTGGAAAGAGGCCCACCTTGAGTTGATTTTTGTAGGAGGTGTGGGATTTGAGTGTAAGTTATTTTATTGCATATGGTCATCCAATTCTTTAATCCCATTTGCTAAGTAAATTCTCCATTTTCCATTGAATTTTTTTGGCTCCTTTGTCAAAAAAATAAGTGGTCATATTTGTGTTAGTCTCTGGGCTCTCTGTTCTTTCTAGGTCTGTGATCATCTTTTTACTAAAACTGCACTGTCTTGATTTCTGTGAAAGTTCATAGTACATCATTTATAATAGCCAGAAAGTAGCAATGATTCACAATAGCCTCACTATCAATTAACATTTGATTGCATCAGTTGAATAAGGAAACAAATTTCAACATATCCATACAGCTATATGTTATTAGACAATAAAAAGAAATAAAACTTTCCTCAAAAAATTTCAGAATGGAATTAAAGGCCAGGTGTGGTGGTGCACATCTATAATTCCGGCTACCCCAGAGACGGAGGCAGGAGGATCACAAGTTCAAGGCCAGCCTGGGAAACTTACAGAGACCCTGTTTCAAGATAAAAAATAAAATGGGAGGTAGCCGTAGCTCATAGTACAGCAATTCCACTTCTAGTCATATGTACAGACAAACTGAAGGTAGATATCAAAGAGGTATTCCTACACCCTCGTTCATAGCACGACACTCAGGATACCCAAAGACGGGAACAACCAAATGTCTACTACAGATGATGGATGAGCAAAATGTGGTAGAGATGTGTGAGGGAATGTTCCGCCTTAGAAAGGGAGAAGACCCTGCTGTACGCTACAGGTGGGGGGGCTTTGAGGGGTTATGCTAAGTGACACAAGCCAGTCACAGAAAGGAAAAGAGACCACAGAGACCACAGGAAGGATGGTGGGCCCATGACTGGAGGGGTGAGTGGGGGTTTTTGGATGGGTGAGTTTTCAGGGTGCTTTTTGTGGTGCTGGGGACGGAACCCAGGGCCTGCGCATGCAGGGAAAGCGCCCTACCACCGAGCCACACCCCAGCCCAGAGTTTCAGCTTTGTGAGATGAAAATGGTCCTGGAGGTGGACGGTGGAGACGGTTGCTGGGCAGCGGGAGTGTGTTTGGTGGCAATGCGACGTGCACATTTTATGTGATGTGCATTTTACCCCAATTAAAAAAGAGGGACGGAACACGCCACAAGACGGGCACCCTGAGAACCCTGGTGGAAAAGGCCAGTCAGGAGTGGCCACGCTTCAAATGACTCCTGGAGAAGGAAACGGTCAGAACTGGCAGGTCCGTGGAGACAGCCCAGGGGAAGGGTTCCTTATCTTTCAGTTGACCACAGTCTGGAGTGGGGGCTTCCTCTTGCTGTTGGGACAGAAATAGAGTCCCCAAATCTGACTCACAATGGAGGGTCCCCTTGTCTCCCAGAGTTACCAGGAGACCTGGGTGGGCAGAGAACAGGGGCTTTCTTGGAAACGCACCTAAGAGAAAGGAGACCTGGTGCTGAAAGGATGTCACAAATATGCAGTGACATTTCAAATGTGCTTGTGTTCACACCCAGGGGCCTTATGTCCAAGAAGGCATTGCAGATACACGGGAGCAGGGACACAGCCCTGCCATGTCCCCGTAGGAGGGCTGCGTTGCTGCTGTCTTTAAAGAACTTATATATATATTTTCTAACTATTGTTTTAGTTGTACAAGTTTATAGAGTACTATGTGACAACTTCATATACACTGTGTGTGCTGATCAAATCCGGGTAGTTAACATTTCCATCTCCTTAAACATTCAAATAATTTTGACCAACGCATGATAATTGCTCATATTTACCCGACACAGTGTGGTATTTCAGCACCTGTGCAGATCAGGCCGGAGGGACCACAGCACACTGTCGGGTATTTCATGATAACTGCAGGAAAGGGACCAAAGCCCCCAAACACACAGGAACAGCAAAGACGTGGAACTGTTAAATATGCATTTTAAAGCCACGGCCATCCCCGTGGACATGGCAGGCTTGGGGTATTTATTTATTTATTTATTGGCACCAGGCTTGGAGTTTTAAGCCCTGAGTATCCTGGTCTCCTCTCAAAGCCTGTCTTGCACTCCCGAGGCCTGGCTCTGCGGTTCCACGCACGGGCACCAGAGGGCAGTATGGAGCTTGGTGGCTCTCAGCCACGGGGCTCCGTGAGCAGTTCCTTTGTGACCCTGGCGCACTCAGGTTGCTGGCCAGGTCACAGGCCCCCACAGAAGGGCTCTGGCGAGCCCCTAAAAGTGTACCCCTGTGTCCCCAGATCCTGCTTGTGAGAAATAGAAGTCCGGGTGTCCATTTTCAGCATGTAGTATTCAGCCTTAATTGGGAAGTAAGATCAAATCGTAGCCATTTTAACTATAGCCCTTCCCTTTGCCCACTCCCAATTTCAATGAGCCATTTTCAGATTGTGACCCCAGCTCCTCCTGTCAGGGCCAGGGGCAGCGCTGTGCGGTGGATTGCTGGCCGGGTGCCCTGCCCGCCCACCTCGCAGCCTGTGCGGGTTTCTGGCAGCTCCACTTGGTACGTCCAACACTGCCACCTGCTGAAGACCTGCTTCAGGCCACCCCACGGCTCTGCGGCAGCGTCCTTTAATAACTGACACAAATTCACTGCACCAAGGGGATCCACCCACTTCAGGCAAACTGACTGAGTCGTACCACTCTGGCTGGAATCCAGTTCTAAAACCTACAAAGACCCTCCTGCCCGTTTGCCTGTGACCTCCACACACGACTGTTTGGGTGAGGACCAGCCGTCAGCTGCGGCCTCCGTGTGGCATGGCACCTCCTGCCGGGTGCTTCCCCCAGGTGGGAAGTTCCCCAGCCTCGCCTGCCCAGGGCGCACCACTGGTCCCGCCTGGGCGTCCCCTCCTCCGGGTTTCCCAGCCCCACAGCAGCCACGCCCTGTCCCAGTCGCTCAGGTGGACACCACACTGGGTTCTCCTGGTTTTTCTTTCCTTTGTCACAACCGAAATCCAGTCCCTCGGGAAATTCCATCCCTGCTTTTGCTTCGACCTCTCTGGTACCGTCTCCCTTTGCCCTCGCTGGACTCTGGCAGCAGAGTCCACCCTCCTGCAGAGGGGGAGCCTGCTACTCAGCCCCGGTGTGCCAGGTGTGGGGGTGGCTGGGGCACCGTGAGTGGGTTGCCCAATGCAGGGCACCGTCCAACGGCGTGGGTCAGAATGGCTGGAGCAGGGTGCCCTGAGCCAACACACCTTTTTACATCTTTCAGTTACTGTTTCAAATGTTCAGTCACCAAAGCATCACCGCTGCCTGTCCCTGGGCCCCCCTGCCCCCTGCACCGTCCTCCTTACATCGGGGTCTCAGGCTGCCTGAGTGTTACAGGCTGAGTGTCCCTGCTAACTCACGGCTCAGGTGCAGCCCATCCAGAGCCCGCTGAGCTGAGCGGAGGGAGGTGACCTGGTCACTGAGAGGAGATGCGGGGAATGTGGCCAGGCTGGCCAGCGACTTCACACTGCCCGTCTCCAGAACCACCAGAGTAGACTCCTGTTGTCGCGGCCCCCAGGGTTCTGGCCAGGACATGAGCACGGGAGGGAACCAAAGTCGTTTGGGAGCCGAGGTCACCAGCTGGGGTCCTGGCCAGCTGTGGTCTCGGCTGCGGACATCTGGTTTGTTGTTTTGGTGGTGCTGACAGACGTGCCCAGTCCTCGCTGTGGGCGGAGGGACACCCGCCTCTCCATTCACACTCTGTGCTCTGTTGGCCGGGACGCTGAGTGGACCCCGAAACGGCACTTGCTCGAGGTCAGTGAGAACTTGGCCTCAGGTGTGGGAGCTACTGGGTGGTCACTGTCGAGACGAGGCCAGGCTGCTGTCTGCGGTGCTGGGGACAAGGCCTTTTGCTTGATAACCTGTGCACAGGAGCCCAGGGAGGGCGCAGACCAGGCCACGTCCCTGTTGTGTGATGCCCCGGCTTCCGCCTCCCCAGTCCAGGTGGGCCTTCTTACTGACCTCCTGTCCCCCTCACACCCGTGGAGGAGGGGCAGGGCGAGGAGAGCAGGGCCCAGAGGCTCAGCTGTGGAGCCTGGGAGGGAGGGCAGGAGGGTGGGGACACAGTGTCACAGCACCAGGGCCTCCTCCAGGGACCCCAAGGCCCCAGGCCCAAGGCCCAAGCTATTTTTTTTTTGTAAAGAGTGGCCATGA